AGGTGGCTTCAAGATTTACAAAATCGATCAATAGAATTTACCATATTAACAAAACAAATTAAAAAACTGAATAATCACTTCAGTAAGTATAAAGATGTATATGACAAAGCTGGGCATTATAGTACACCACTTACAATCCCAGTACTTGGGAGGCTGAGGCAGAAGGATCACCAAGTGTTCAAGGCCAGCCTGGGCCATATAGTGAGTTCAAGGTCAGCCTGAACTACATAGCAAGACTGTCTCAAAAAAAAACCGCATATGACAAAATGCTTAGTAACATCAATCCTTATAGCGAAATATTACAGTTTCACGTGAAGATCAGGAATGAGACAAACCTATGCACTGTAAGGAGAGTAGCAAAAAGCAGTAAAAAAAAGGTAACAAGCATTGAAAATAAACATAAAGGTAGAAAGGAAGAGGTAATAGTATCTATTCACAGACCAAATGATTATTAATTTAGAGAGGAACTCTACAAATTATTGTACCTCATAGGTTAACATCTCAATTTTCTGCAATTGGATCTATATGCTCAGTGTAATCCCAACCAAAATCTGGGCAAGTTTTCCTTTGGAAAATCAACAGCAGATTCTACAATTTATGTTGAAATGCAAAGAAACCAGAACAGCAAAGACAATGCCAAACAACAGCAAAAGAATAGGATATAACCATTGCCAGACTTCAAGACCTGTGAAAGAGCACAGTACATAATACAGACAAGGCAGCAGACGCCTGAGGACAGATGGACCTACTCTGGCCAAGGCAACATAGTGGGAAGATGGCCTTCCTCATAAATGACCTAGGAAGCTGGATATCCACACTGAAGAAAACAAACTTCAACCCCACTTCACTCCACACATAAAGGACTGACTTCAGTCGGGTATGGTGGTGCATGTCTGAAATCCGAGCACTCAGGAAGCTAAGGCAAGAAGATCATGATGAGTTTGAGTCCACCCTGGGTGAGCTCAAAGCCAGCCAGACCTACATAGACCTAAATGTGAAATTTAAAACAAAACTTTCTCCAGATTAAAACCTAGTGGGGAAGCTTCAGACCCTGGATACCAATGTCTCAAGTCACAAAAAGCCCGATTTCATTAAGAAATCTCTGTCCATAAAAAGGACAACAGTAGGGATAGGGATTAACCCCAGTGGTGCCATGCCTGCCTTGCAAGTGCAAAGTTTTGAGTTTGATCCCCGATCCCTAGTATCAAAAAAAAAAACAAAAAAAAACAAAACAAACCAAAATGACAACAGTAAGAAGCTATGTGTAGTGGTACATACCTGTAATGTAATCTTGGCACTTGGAAGGCTGAGGCAGTAGGACTGCAAGAGTTCAAGGCAAACCTGGGCTACATAGTAAGTTCAAGGCCAGCCTGAACTACAAAGGGGACCCTGTCTCAAAAAAAAAAAAAAAAAAGGAAAAACAAAAAAAAACAAAACAAACCAAAATGACAACAGTAAGAAGCTATGTGTAGTGGTACATACCTGTAATGTAATCTTGGCACTTGGAAGGCTGAGGCAGTAGGACTGCAAGAGTTCAAGGCAAACCTGGGCTACATAGTAAGTTCAAGGCCAGCCTGAACTACAAAGGGGACCCTGTCTCAAAAAAAAAAAAAAAAGGACAGCAGTAAGAGAGTGAAAAAAAAATAGAGACTTGGGAGAAGTCCAACAAAATAAATACATCCACAAAAGTGCCTGTGGTAGGTGTGGTGGTACACACCTGTAAATCCAGCTCTCTGGAGGCAGAAGGAAGCTCGGCATGAATCTGAGGTCAGCCCAGGCTACACACCATCTTTCCCAAAAATAAGACCAGGTCTTATATCAATCTTTGCAACAAAAAGATGCAATAGGGCTTATTTTCAGGGGATGTCTTATTTTCTCATATACAACAATCTACATTTATTGATGTATAAAAAATCTACTTATTCACCAGGAGTGGTAGCACAGATCTATAATCACCACACCTGGGAGGCTGAGGCAGAAGGATTGTCATGAGTTTGAGGCCTGCTTGGGTTACACAGTGAGTTCAAGGCCAGCCTAAACTACAGAGTGAGGCCCTGAATTAGAAACCAAAATAAATAAATAAAATCTACTTATGTACAGAAATCCATACTTATCTAAATAGTCATGTCATCTGAAACATCATAACTCTCCAAACCCCGAATTCCGGCCTGAATTTCTTGCGACTCCATTTCCTGTAGAACGACTGGTCTCAGCTCTCATGTCCAGCAACAGAGCCCTCCTTAAGTGGGCACTGTTTCTCCTCACAGCCTGCTCGCAGTGCACTGGCAACGCAGCTGTCCGAGATTTCATCCCGTGAGCTCTTCACTCACCTCATGACCTCTCCTGAAGTTTCCATTAAACCAAGTATTAACTGAACACTTCCGGGACAGGAATGGCAACAAAAAAGGTGACAGCTCAGAGTGACGGTGCACAGAAAGTGACAAAAAGCTGCGGGCACCAAAACTCAGAGAATATCCCTTTATTTCACACAAGTGCATTAAGTATTTCCGTTACAACACATGACATACTGAATTATGAGGAGTCATAGTAGACACAAGCATGTTTCTTTGTTATCAAGTGCACATGTTGCCGGGTATGGTAGTGCACATCTGTAATCCCAGCACTCTGGAGGCTGAGACAGGAGGATCACTGAAAGTTCAAAACCAGCCTGGGCTACACAGTAAATTCCAAGCCAGTCTCAACTACATAGTGAGACAGACCCTGTCTAAAAAAAAAACAACAAAAACCCCCACAAAGTGCACACATTATTCATGCATTGGGTCTATACTCCAGCTGGTCATTCATAGTAAGTCTCAAGTTCATCTGTTTACATAGGCATTTATCTTTTGTTCAAAGGCAGCCATTTGGGTATCTACAAATTCTTTTTTTTTTTTTTTTTTTTTTTT